CTTGAATTTGCACACTACAAAAAACCCAAAACGTAATTCCACAAACAATTCTTGTCTCCCTGTAGATGAAACCGTGAGTTCCTGGGACAGCTCCTCGGCTTTGTCCGTGGTGTTGGCCGACGGGCACCCCGGGTCCGAAGTGGCCGGGACGCCATCGGAATGGGTGGACTGCATCCAAGCGAGTGACATGTGCAACCAGAACCCACACTGCAGCTCTCGGTACCGTGTGATGCGCCAGTGTTTGGTGGGCAAGGAGAAGGAAGCCATGCTGGACAACAACCAGGAGTGCCGAGCGGCCCTGCGGGTGCTGCTGGTCAGCCCGCTCTTCGACTGCCGCTGCAAGAGGGGCATGAAGAAGGAGCTGCAGTGTCTTCAAAACTACTGGACCATCCACATGGGACTCAATGAAGGTAGGGGGCACGTGGTTTCACTGAGTCAAGCACCGTTTCCCAACCTCGATTGAGCCAAGGCACATGTCGAAAAATCCCGCAAAAACTAAAAATGTCACGATGGCAACATTTGCGACTGTTTCTGTGGACACAAATGGTTGGATGATTGGCAACAGATTTATTGTATCTCCTGCCATCTACGAGAAGAGCATTTTCATTGTCCTGCCTGTCACTATACATCACCGGCATAGATTGCTCAACAAAGACACATTATCTGTAGCAGTATAAAACAATTCATCCGTCATCTTCATGACTGAGTAGAGCCCGAGTTGGACTCTATGACTTATGATTGACTTCTGCTTCTCGTAATCGCAATCATTTGGGCCAGTTTGTCTTCATGCTGCATGAACGCATGAGTCACAGTCAAATGCACGAAGGCGACGTTCACGCTGCTGTTTCATGTCACTCCAGTTTGAATAGAATGCGTCAGTGAAGTGACACGCATGGACGCAAAACACGTCCCGTGGCGCGCTTGTGCTTGAACGGAGGTAAATATGAACCCCATGTGTAGCTGTCAGTTCTGATGCAGTTGTGGCAATTTCAAGGGCTTGTGCTGAAAGTGACTTCTCCTTCGTCCGCTGTTGATTTTTCCGCCATTTTGTTCAACCATTTAATTTCTTTTTGCCTTTTGATGATTTACAGGATACCAATGGATGATTATTCGTTGTACATACTGTCTATAGATAGA